CCAGGGCATTTTGGAGCACTTCATGCTTCCTTCCGCAGACAAGCTTTATGGGGATGCTGACTTCATTTTCCAGCAGGACTTGGCACCTGCCCACATTGCCAAAAGCACCAAAACCTGGTTCAATGACCATGGGGTTACTGTGCTTGATTGGCCAGCAAACTCTCCTGACCTGAACCCCATGGAGAATCTATGGGGCATTGCCAAGAGAAAGATGAGAGACATGAGACCGAACAATGCAGAAGAGCTGAAGGCCGCTATTGAAGCATCCTGGTCTTCCATAACACCTCAGCAGTGCCACAGGCTGATAGCTTCCATGCCACACCACATTGAGGCAGTAATTGCTGCAAAGGGGGCCCAAACCAAGTACTGAGTACATATGCATGCTTATACTTTTCAGAGGTCTGATATTCTATGTACAATCCTTGTTTTATTGATTGCATGTAATATTCTACTTTTCTGAGATTGTGGATTTGGGGTTTTCATGAGCTGTAAACTATCTTGCTTTGCATGTAATGAGTCTATCATATATTAGGTTCACCTTTTAAGTTGCATTACTGAAATAAATGAACTTTTGCACAATATTCTAATTTTTTGAGTTTCACCTGTAGTAAATATATCATTGTGATAGAATCTATATATCTCTTCGGTCACACTGCTGAGCAGGAAGACCTGGATAATATGGGGGTCTGGAGGCTAAGCCATATGATGAACGATTGAGGAAACTAGGTATAACCAGTCTAACAAAGAGAAGGACTAGGGGTGACATGATACCTGTCTTTCTGTATTTGTGGGGCTAGAAGTGGGTTGAATTATTCTCCAAAGCAGGACAAGAAACAACAGATGGAAATTTTATCAAATTGAAATCCAACCTAGAACTAAGGAGAAAATTCCTAATAATGGGAACAGTTAAATCAGTGGAGTGGCTCACCTCCAGAAGTTGTGGATGCTTCATCACTGGAGGTTTTCAAGAAGAAACTAGACAGCCATTTGTCTGGAATGGGATGGGGTTTCCTGCTAGAAAAGACTAGAATACCTGTGAGGTCTCTTCCTGTTGTCCTAGGTTCTTTGTTCTAATTCCAAACTGATGGATTATATGCAATCATCTAAAGGGCAAAAGTTGTTGAGTTCAATTATCTGTAGAAGATTTGAACTCTACTGCAGCGTTCTGCAACCTTTCCGGGTTGTCAGCCTGACCTGGGGGGGGGGGAGAGGGGGAGAGGAGAAGGGCAGGTTTGCATATGTGCCCATGCAGAGCATTTGTGTGAGCAGCGGGCGGGTGTGGGCACTGCTCATGCAAGTGGAGCTGTGAGCACCAGTGCCTGCCGCACATGTGAGTGGGGGCTGCAGTCCACTGCTCTCACAAGTTGGACTGTGAATGCCAGTGACCGCCACTCACACAGCCCGGTTGCAAATAAGCCACAGTTCAGTAGTGGGCAACAGCCCACAGGTTGGGGACCCCTGCACTATTGAATAAGTTCTGGCTTTGCCTAATGTTTTCTAATAAAAAGGAAATTCATTCCATGGCGGTCAATGTAATTGCATTACTTTTTCTATTTCTTTGGTTGTATCATGGGCTTCAATTGTACAGTCTTATAGGCATACTATCTGATACCCCTGAATTAGCACTTGAATAACTATATATAGTTGATCTATTTTTTGACGAGGCACCCAAACAAATCAATAATAGCCAACTTACTGCTCGCTTGTTCTCCTACGAAAGTTCAGCCACATCATGGGAAAGATATGAGGCTAGTTATTGAGGTATAATCAATAGAATTGCAAATTGAGCAATTGTCAAGCTCCAGGAAAATCAGGAGATTCAGGCAGTTCAAATGGGTATCAAGATTTATTGCAAGCTTAACCTCTCTACAAGAATCAACTCCTAACACCCATGCATGCTGGCTAAGAGTCACAGGAATTCAACTTGGATCTCTTGTGGGTACAAAGGGCTCAGCCTGCTCATCCATACAGCAATTTAATCAGATTTTAGAGTTAAAAATGCTGAGAAAATATATTATTTACTATTTATGTTTAACAAAGCAGATTGCTTAGCTCCTAAGAACCATTAAATTGACAAATTTCTTTCCTCTTTACCTATAAAACTGCATTAGAAAGATTCCCTTGAGGAAATAAAATGCAAATCTTAGGTTGGTTTTGTCCAACTTGGGTGTATTTTGGAGCATTTAGGGAGCAGGGAAGGAAAAAAGTTGGGAAACTTGTTTTCACAAGTATTCTCATTTGTGATTCTCTAGCTCCAGTGAATTGTCCAGTTTGCTGGGAGAGGATGATATATAAATACACAAACCTGTCACTTGCTATAAACCTTGTCCTTTTCTTGTGCACCTTAAGAGGTTTGAGAATCTGAACTTGCAAAAGAATTCACACCCATTACTGTCAGGATATATATACATAAGGCCAAACAAAGTCTTGATTGGAAAGTGCATTCATCTTGTTTAAACTAAAAAACTTGGTGGCATCCAGCATTGTCCCAGCCTGAATACCATCATGCAAGAAAAGCAATATGTAGGCATGAAACTATTGGAATGTGTAAGAAGAACCCTAAAATTTAGACAATGTTACTTCAGAAACAAGCATCTAAGTTTATTGAAAATACAGGAATCAACTTTTAGCTAATCAAAGAACATTCCTGTATCAGGGATTGACTAATATTCTCTCTAGATATATCAAGCTTTAGCTTTTTCTGCTTAAAACTTAAAAATGTAAGCAAAATCGTGACTGCTGTTTAATAGGTATAGAAAGAGGCCACACTTTATTCAATTGGAAAATATTTCTAAAATAATTAAATGGCATCTGTGTACTTGATATGGTTTACTCCAGTAGGACTATGTTTCAACAAGGCTAACCTCTGTATAAGCCAATGGCATTTTATTATTATTAACAGTACAGTGGCAGTCAGAAGATTCATCTTCTATGTCTTTACAAAATGCATTTATTGAAATAGTATTCCTGGCCCTGATTGGTTTCTAAAAATGAAAATGTGAAAACTGAAATATATTTGACATAAAGAACCAAACAACCTTTGAAAATGATTATGTGCCTTAAATCTACCTGGGGAGTAAAAGCTAAGTTTCACAGCAGCATCTTTGGTCAGATGTATAGTTTTTAACCAAAAGCTCAAAAACGAAGAGAACAGTTTGAAGCTCTTCTTGCACTATTGTTTTGTACATTATATGGATTTTTTTCCTGCTAAATAAGCATTTTGATCATGAAATAACATGCTGGTTATAGTTCCATAATCATGAATATTGATCACTCACTGAAGTCTTTGCATGTAAATACAAAAAATATCTTCATTCTAAGTCCTGTATGAAGCAGAGGCTATCTTTTTAACTATGCTGTATTTTTTCTCATCTTTTTGCCTCTAGTTATATATTCTGTAGTTTAATTTTGCGCACAGATGTTAATATATTTATGTAATGTGATGTGTAAAAGTTATTAAGAAATTGAAGTTTACCTTGGTGCAGAGTTGTATAAAAATGCAGTTTGTAAAATCTTTCAGACAATAATGATCAGAATGTATGCTATGCTTTCTAAATCTTAATTTTCATTTATTGTATGAAATGTCTATCTTTTTTTTAAAATGCTGAAAGGCCACTGATTGTAAAGGAGACCCTTTTAGTCACTTAACCAGCCTTCACATTATCAACATTTTATTAAATATTGGGAAGCGGTGGTGACATTTTGTGGGAAGTTACACTACACTTAGATTAAAATGGTTGCAACCTATCTCCTTTTTCTTATCTGAATTTGTTGTTTACCATTCCAGTTGTCCAGTTTGCTTTAAAAATAAGCCATCTAGGATCTGCATCTAATCCTATATATCACTTATCAAAATGCTGTGAAAAACATGAGAATGGCAATGGAGAAAAAAGTTCAGTTGAACAAATTGGATTCATCTTAACTCCCACTTGTTAGGAAGTAATTTCCAACTGAAGAAAGATGTGGATGTATTTGATTCATTATAGTCAGCTGATACAGAATACAGGGAGTCTTTGACTTATAACTGTAATCGAGGCCAAAATTAGCCTTAAGTTATGGCAGCCATTAAGGTGACTAATTTTATCATTTTTGTGGTATTGTTCAATGAACACTGCAGTCATTAAGCAAATGCATGGTCTTTAATGAATGCATTATATTCAATGGATGGTGGTGTTTTTTTGCTGGAAATTAAAGATAAATCTCAGAAATTGCGGTCATGTGACCATGGGATGCTACAACTGACTATAATCAAGTGAAATGAGTAACACAATTTCTCCTGGTGCACATTGTCTATGAATATGACTCATGTAGGAAATACCCAGGAACATCTCATAGCAGGTAGGTATATTCTAACAATGAAAGTAGTTTAGTACATAGAATATTAGAGTTGATGGGACCCTGAAGGTCTTCTAATTCAACCCCCTTTATATTTTCATACATGGAAAAGTAAAGGATGCTGCAAGTTTGTAAAACTACTGGCACTGCAAGACATGTTAGGACACATGATTCTGGTTCTGAGGTGCTATTAAAAGAAGCAAGGCCTATCAAGTATGAAGAGCCATAATGAATATTCATTTGCTCAGTGCAAAAAAATCAATATTCTTTATGATTAAATACATTCAGCTTTGGACAGTTTGCATCCTTCTAAACCCTCCTTACATTACTAATACTATTAGTCTTTGGTGGGAAGACACTAACATAAAATGCTTACTTTTATAATTCAAAAAGTCAGCATGCACTTTGCAATGTACTTCTGATAGTTCATAATAATACATGTGGCTGTTTTATTGATGCAGTTCTGTATTAGAATGATTTTCATTTTTAAATTCTTACAGCTAAAAGCTTCCAAACTTTTAATTGAGACGTTGGAGTTGTACAGCAATCACTTTTTTGTTGAAGTAAATTTATCTGCCATATTAAATACTATGGACAATCTACAACATTTTATTACATTTCACAAAGGACAAATTTAAAAATACGTTTACATTTTGAAAAACAAACTGATTTAACCATCCAAGACACAGCTTTCAGAGTAACAGCTTGAACTTTATATGCAATAAAAATTGGTTGAAATTAAGTATAATTCTCAAGCATCCTTAATAGGAACTATTTAAAAAAAAATAGAGACATCTTTGTATGAAATATACCACATTATAAAGATTTTATCTTTATTATGCAGCACATAAAGCAAATTTTAGTGACAAACAGATTTGGTTAACCTATTCTTTGTCTAGAAGCTTGGAGAGATCCATTTTCGTTTTTGCAAGAGCTGTTGTTTTGATTCGGCGGGATGATCTTGAATATGCCATGGAAACAGGTTGCTGAATTTCTCTGCGGAGAAAGAAAGATGTTGAGATAGGACACAGCGGTTTTTTTAAAATTAGAAGTCACCCTCCATCCGTTCGTTAGGACAACTCTTGAATTCATTAGTGTGTATGTGTATTTATGTGTACACACACACACACAGGAAATCAAGTCCTAAATTGGTTTATAGCAGTAAGTTCTGTCTAGATGGACATGCTTTTCATTGTTTTTCCGGTAATAACAACATTAGACAATTTGCTATAGATGCTTTTGGCAATTTATTGATTGCTTAAGGTACCAGGTCTAAAAGCAGTTACTTTGATTATGTTGGTATCCAACTCTAATGAGGGATCAGGTTATATTGGATTTCTCTTAGGTTTCTTACAGCAAGATAACATATAATTATGAAACCTACAAAGTGGTTAGCTCTGCATTTTGACAACCAACTGCTCATGTTCCAATTAATTAGAGTAGCTTTATTCTGGTAAATTTAATGTCAATCTTCTCTATAACTCTGAGGAGAACATCATATCTAGGAGCTGCAAGAGGAGGATACACGAAGTTAATTAGTTACATTCAGTGTCATCTTTTCTGCAAAAAAAAAAATGGCTCTCAAGTCACTTGACAGATATACAGCTTACTCTGCAAACGCTGTAGCTGGAGAAGCTACATATAGACCTAAAGGCGGTTTAAGTATATTGATAATCACCTGCCTGGATGTAATTCTTAGGATTTGTCTTAAGCTTAAAGTGTAACTGGATAAATAAACCAGTCTGTTCAAGCAACATTCAAGTCTTTCTTTTCCTAATTTACTCAAAATTATACATACATTTTTGTAACAACAATTCTGTCTACTCTCATTAAAAGACATTTTCTGACAACCTTTAAAATAGTAAAGAATGTGCTTGATAGTTACCAGATTGTGAGAGGTAGTTCTTTCTCCACCCCCAAAAAATGGGAATATCAAAATAGATAACAGTGGAAAGAACCCATCTCTGTATCTTTCCACTATTTAATTTTCACCTGAGCACACTTGCTTTTACTTTCCCTCCATAAGAAGTTGCCACCACCACCACTTATTCTTCCCATCAACACAGTTCCCATTCCTGCCCGCTCCAGCTGCTTTGGACATCAGCCTCCAGGGAGTCCATGTCACTATAAGAAGGATGGAAATGAGACTACAGTAGTCTATCAACTGGCAATGTTGACAGTGAGTCTCTTTCAAAAGCTTCCTTCAAGATGGATGAACTAAAGCAGGGGTGTCCAACCTTGGCAACTTTAAGACTTGTGGACTTCAACTCCCATAATTCCTCAGCCAGCAAAGCTGGCTGAGGAATTCTGGGAGTTGAAGTCCACAAGTCTTAAAGTTGCCAAGGTTGGACACCCCTGAACTAAAGACTTATGTTTTCCCCTGCCCGAGCTTTTTATCATGGCCAAGGGAGGAGGTCAGCCACAGGCAGTCAGTTTTAGTCCTGCATCCAGATGGCACTGAGGGGAAGAAACAATATCCAATTAAAAGTCCTATTTGATGCTACATAACATTCTTCAATAAATTAGCCCATTGCACTTTGCTATTCTACAGAAAAAAATGTATAGATATAGGTATGTATGATATGCAAATGACCAGCCAATTTAGTACTTAATGTTAGGTGCAAGAAATCAGGAACCAGGTTAGAATTCAGAAAGCACTGTGTTTATTCCATGCAACCTATACACAAGAATCTGATCTACTAATGGACATGAGTAATTGGTGCCAGGTAAGAGTCAATAGACCTCAAGGTCTCCAAGAGACTTAGGTCTCTTTTGGGGTCTCATAGAGACTCAGGCTGATGATGCATTTGACCCCCCACCCTCGGGTATAGCCTGGTCATCTACACTGAATAACACAATATAATTTTTTAACCACAAAGAAGAAAATTGAAAGCATGTGTCTAATCCTAACAGCAAGAATTATCAGATAACTCAAGGAAATTACCTGTCACTTTCAGACCCTTTAGTTCTAGAACACCCACTTTGATGGTCAGTTTGCACTTCTATTTTTCTCAAACCTAAAGGGATACACAACATGTACATATCAATGTTTAAAACCACAAACTTGTAATTTCTTCAGGTGTTCCACAAAAAGATGCACTCTAGCATTATGCCAAACTAATCTTATTTCATTCTTTGACAAAGTGACTAAATTAATAGACCAGCGAAATGTTGTGGACATAGTATATTTAGTCTTTAGCAAGCCATTTCACAAAGTAGACCACAACCTACTTCTTGGCAAGCTAGAAAAATGTGTAGACAGCATCACCCCCATATGGATTTGTAACTGGCTGACAAAACTCAAAACTCAACAAGTAGTCCTTAACGGTACTACATCTATATGGAAGTAAGCAATGCGGTACCACAAGGTTCCGTCTTAGGCCCACTATTCTTTATAAATGACTTAGATGAGGGAATAGAAGGGGAACTCATCAAATTTGCAGATGACATTAAGCTGGCAGGAATAGCCAACATCCCAGAAGACAAGTTCAGGATCCAAAAAGATCTTGACAGACTTGAACAATGGGCCCTATCCAACAAAATGAAATTTAATGTGAAGAAAAGCAAAGTTTTACACCTGGGCAGGAAAAACCAAAGGTACAAGTACAGATTAGGCGAAACCTGGCTGAAAAACAGTAACTGTGAGAGGGACCTTGGAATCCTAGTGGACGATCACTTGAACATGAGTCAGCAGTGTGCAAGCAGCAGCAAAAAAAGCCAATACAATCTTTGGTTGTATAAACAGGCATAAAATCAAAATCAAGTAAAGTATTAGTACTGCTTTATAAAGCCTTAGTAAAGACACACTGGAGTACTGTAATGGTCACATTACAAACAAGATGTTGAGACTGGAAAAACTGCAAAGATCAGCTAAGATGATTAAAGGCCATGAAGACAATTAACTGGTGGGACAGCTTGCCTTCAGACATTGTGAGTACTTCATCACTGGAGGTTTTTAAGGAGACTGGACAATCACTTGTCTGAAATGATATAGGCAGGGGTGGGATTCTACCATTTGGCGAACCGGTAGTTACGGCGATGATTTGGGCCCGTCCACCTGCCCCTGCCCTATTCTGTCCTTTATTTCTGGGGGTTTCAGCTCAGCTATTTGGCGCATCACAGCAGATTGCTTTGCCTCAGTTGATTTGCTCACCTGGACTGCAGCAGAAGGTAAGCTTTAGATCTGAAAAAGCAACGTTTTTCAAATGCAAAGCGCACACTCACCAAACTGGTTATTACAGTGGCTGAATCACATCCCTGGATATAAGGTCTCCTGTTTGGGGGTGGGGGGTTGGATTAGAAGATCTCCAAGGTCCCTTCCAGCTCTATTCTGATTACAATTCCCTCTACCTCCAATGAATCACCTAAGTGTCCAGTATTATTCTATGTATTGGATGTATCTCCTGAAAATGCAGGTAGTCTTCAATTTATGAACACAATTGGGACTGGAATTATTGTTGTAAGTTGGTACTCTTAGTCAAGGAGCCCATATTTCAACAAAATGCAAGGCACTGCTCTTGAAGAGAAAGCCAACATAATACAAGTCACTTCAGTAAAGTCAAAAGTAGCCCCAAAAGTATCCATGTTTTTAAGTTCAGCTTATGCATACACTCACATTTGCCCTTTCTTTAGCCAGAAAAACACTTATGAGAAAGCTTTACAAAGCAAAAGTATATTTGCTTCAGATGATTACCTTTTGTTGATCTGTTTCTTCTAGGTCTTGACTTTACAGGTGTGTTCTCTGTGTCTTCAATAGGAGTGATTATTTTATCACCTATTTCAGACAATGTATCGTCAAACAATTTGGACAAAGTTAATGCCTATGTTGCTATTCTAATCAGAGCATCTCATGCTAATTATAATGCTCCTGAGAATGGTAATACAAGTTTCTTCCTTCCACTAGCTTCTGAGACAAGGGTACCAGTCAAGGCTAAGTGAGTCATTTGAAGTTATTCCGTTATACCTCTTCTACCGTAATATCAAGAAAAACATAACATTTGCAGTCTGCACAAGTTATTCTGTTAATTAAAGTAATAGCAGCCATATTCCTAGTCAGCAACTTCAGAACAACCCCACTGAGCTCATCACTACGTGTTGACCCAGAGTGATTAATGGAGGGGCATACAAATATATGAATGAATGAATGAATCTGTTCCACCTCCATTTAAACAACCTATTTCCCAAGCAACCTATGAGTCAATGACACATTTCTTGAATAAAAATGCCCCACCTCTTTAAAGGAGCATAAACAGGACTGTGTTCAGCAAACCTGAAGGGCAAGGCTTCAGGAGAATCACTAAAGAGGGGACAGACTTGAAACAAATCTGGACTAGGGCTTTCAGTCCTAATATTTAGGGCAACATATTAAGGCCAACATAAAAGTCATCCATGAATTCACATGATGAGGGTCATGTAAAAACTGAGTAATTCCTCCACCTCTGTAATACAACCAAAGCACACAATTCTCTTGCATACCCCATTTCCCATCCTATCTAGAGATTATGCTCTAAAGAATTAAAAAAATATAGTACAGTATGTTCTCTGTGTTACCTTCCTCATTCTGGCCAGTGGATGTACATGGTTTATTGCAGTCCAAATTGTTTTCTGCTACTTCTGCAGTGTCCTTTTCTTTTGAAACATGTCCATCAATAGGGCTTCCTTTGCTTAAGTTGTTCTTCACTTTTTCAACCATTTTTAAAGACATTTTATCTTTTACTTTCTGTAATAGAGAAGTCAAGAACAGCTTATTTAGAAGTGTACATAATGGGCATTTGTTGATTCTAGACATGTATTGGTGCTGGAATTGAATGTTGGGCTAAGACATTCATTAACAAATAGAAATGCCCATTAATCTCTCTCTACGAATAGTATATTACTGCAAATAACATGGGATAATTTTATTAATATTTGAAAACGACAGAAGTCACTTAAAACTGATTCTTGGAATCTGTGAAATACAATCAGAGACTGTTAAGAAATAAATAAGATTCCCCATTGAAGAATTTCAAGTTTTTGAAATGTGATTCTTTCGCACGGCCTTCTCAAACGGAGAGTAGCAACTGCACGGGGGAGGGGAGTTGCAAGCAAATTTGAATGGAATTGGTTGAAGCAGTTCTTGAAAAACAGCAACCCCTTTGGCCCATAGAGCTGACAGTCCAGCAACTATGGCTTGTCTCTTTCTCAACTTTGTCCCCCCGAATTTGGCAGGGATCTCTACACTATTAATCCCAAGAACCACTCCCCATTGACTCCAAAGGGTAGGCACGGGAGGAGAGTTTTCAACAGAGTGCTTGGCACTTAGGCTCATTCAGGTTCTCCTCTGCTCATTCTGACAAATTCCCCAACAGGTAGCAGGATGAGGAAGAGGAAGAGAAGATGAGGAAGATAAGAACATAGAAGGCTAACAAGACTACAGGGGTGTCCATACGGATTGGGGAGGGGCTCAAAAAGAGTCAAAGTGGACCCTGCTGTAAAACACCCAGCTCTTAAGACTCAGGCCAGAAGAAACTGAGAGCTGACACTGAAGTGAGTGCCCATTTCTTCATTTTGAACCATGGATGCATCCTATAGAAAATGACTAAATTAATTTGCACTCTTTTTCTTCCTCCATCATTCCCATTTTATCATTTATTCACATTGATGCATTATTTGAGTTTATGTGTGTCTTCCTCTTATTTCTGTGGCTGCTAGCATTATATCTGTATCTCCCAGCTTGCTCTGGATAAAAGTATTCTGCATTTTTGTATCTGAGGAAAAACCTATGTACATTTCGTGCTGGCTGCTTCCTCCCTGCTCTTGTTTTATGAACCACCAAGCTGACTTCCTTCCAGTTTGTGAAACTTCCCCATTTTGTCACTTATTCAAGTTTCTGAGGGAGAACTTCCAATTTTCTCTAGAGGGCTATGGATTCTCTAAGTGCAACATCCAGTTTTGGCAATCTAGGCTGATGAAATGTGGAATGAGAACAGGATTTTTGTTTTGAATTTTTTTAAATCATATTTTTAAGGGGAGGGAGAGATCATTTTAAATTTCCCAGGGTGTTCTGGCTGGTGACTTCCATTGTGACATCCAACATATTGATAAATGAACTTCAAACAAATTTATTATTTTACAGGATCGTGGTACCACAATGTTTGATAAACCCTGGCTTCAGGGTTTTTCCAAGAGGAACTTAGAAGATAAGGAAACCTGGTGGCCAAAGGAGGATAATAATTTTTAAGTCTTGGTTTTTGCAAACTCAGGTTTTTGGAGAATGGAGACGTTAAATTTTAGAGGGCAAATATTGTTTCTTCTCACACACTCTAAGACATGTCTCAGAAATTTTACAAGAAACCCACTAAATCTGTGTTTATGTGTCTATGTATCATTAGGTTATGACTTACCACAAGAATATCCTCAAATAAATCCATGAGGTCATTTGTAAAATCCTTACTGAATTCTAAGGAACAGAGAGCTTTTGCGTATATCCGGACATCTGGCGCACTTGGATCCGTCAAAATTTCATTGCATATTTTTAGTGCTAAATTATCATGAACTGTCAGACCCTGAAAAAGCCATTACAATATGGTAATTGTCCAAGTATAAATTGTCCACAATTTCAACAAAAGCATTACTACAAGGGGCAGGAGGCTTTAACCCAGATTTTGAGGGCTTTCTAATCTCAGATCAAACAAAACAACCTCCTCACATACAATTCACCCTACCTGGCAGTTCTGAAAACGTTGATTCAATCCACTGGGCCTTGTTAGATCCACCAGAAGTTCAGCAACGTTAGCTACATCGACCTCTGACAATGGTGATGAAGCCGGAGCATTAAATAATATTTGCAACGTTGGAAGAAAAGTTTCTTCAAAACATTCCTGATTGGTTCTGCATTTTTAAAATGTAACACGTGAGGCCTTAACACAACATCAAATGTACCCAACTGCATCAATTTTCCAACTAACGTAAGAAAAACCAATTCTATGTCCAGATGAAAAAATAAGGTCTCTTGAGAAAGTGGCATCAGATGCAAACGACAGCAAACAGCAAAAAGATAGTCCAATATTCTAATCTTACTGTGGGTCCTTCTGCTTTTTTATAGCATATGGTATACAGATACCTATTAACAACCTTACAAACTAAATCACAGAAGTATCTGGACGATAAGATTGATGTATACCCAGTAAAAAATTCAACAAAGATTATTTTTAAGAAAACATAGAGCAAATCACATGCTTAAGCAGTTGTTATTATTCAAATACAAAAAAACTCACAATACTTTTTTTCCCCAATTAAGTTCACTTTGAGCTATTTAAATTACAGGTAGTCCTCATCTTACAACCACAACTGAGCCCAAAACTTTTGCTGCTAAGCCAGACAGTTAAGTGAATTTTGCCCTATTTTACGACCTTTCTTGCCACAGTTAAGTGAATCACTGCAGTTGTTAAGTTAGTAACACTGAATTTGGCTTCCCCGTTGACTTTGCTTGTTAGAAGTTGGTAAAAGGTGATCCCGTGACCCCAGGACACTACAACTGTCATAAATACGAGTCAGTTACCAAGTGTCTGAATTTTGATCACAACCATGGGGGTGCTGCAATGGTTGTTTAAGTGTGAAAAATGGTCGTGTCACTTTTTTTAGTGCCATGGTAACTCTGAACAATCACTAAATGAACTGTTGTAAGTCAAGGATGACCTGCATAGAAAAAGAAACTGCACACAGACATACACATCTATACAGACTATACCTATTTGAATATGCAAATAAAGGGAAAAAAACTCCTAGGGCATGTCGGAGACGTGTATCCTCTTCAGTCACTGGATTATACCACAACAAAACCAGTCGAGAAAGAAGCTTAGCACTGATTAGCCGGCCGGAAAATATGAGCTTCACCAGTCCCTCGGCAGCCTCAGTTCTGAGTTCTGAGAACTGGAGAAGAGATTGACATAAGTGTATTCCAGCCATTATTCCACAGGAAATTGGAGCTGTAACATCTACCCTAAGTTTCATTCTGCAAGATTGCATTTACAGATAGTCCTCAACTTACAGCCACAACTGAGCCCCAAAATTTCCATGGCTAAGGCAAGGCAATTGTTAAGTGGGTTTTGCTCCCTTTTACAACCTTTTTGCCACAATTGTTAAGTGAATCGCTGCAGTTGTTAAATGAATCATGTGGTCATTAGGCAAACCTGGCTTCCCCCGTTGACTATGCTTGTTGGAAGCGAGATGAGAAGGTCACAAATGGCAATCACCTGCCCGCCCCCCCCCCCAGGACGCTGCAGCTGTCATAAATACATGCCAATTGATAAGAGCCCAAATTGTGATCATATGGCCATGGGGACGTTACAATTTAAGTATGAAAACTAGTCATAAGTCACTTTTTCAATGCAGTTATACCTCTGAATGGTCACTAGACGTTGTTAATCCGAAGCAATAAAAAAAGCTCTTTCTCATGACTATTTCAACATGTCTCTCATCAGGTGAGTGATGTATAACTGATATTGTTAGCATTCCTAGCTTTTTTTCATGCATTGTTTATATTGCTAGTACCAGTCAGGGAAACATTATGCTCAAATTTTCTCTTTATATTCTTCCAAACATCAAATTAAAATTTACATCCATATTTGCTAGTTTCAATCATACCTCACTATCTAGAAACCCAGAAAGAAGCTGAAGAAGATTGTGAGTGGTAGCTGTTTCTTCTTCCGTTTCCTTAGTTTTCTCACTCTCGTTTTCTTCATTTCCACTTTGAACTTTTCTGTCTTTGAATGGTTCTATTCCAAATATCATTACCTGGTCAAACAGTGCCTTTAAAGCACTCAATTTTACCTTCATTTCATCAATTTGCAATACCTGAATAGGATTAGAAAGACCAAACAGGGCTTGTGAATTTATATAATTTAAACTATAATTCATTGGTTGAGCCATTAAAAAAAACAACCTCATTTTGACTCTTGCCTTTTCTCGGACTCTTTAAAGCAGTTCCAAATTTTGCTATAAATTTGAAGTTGACAAATAGCCTTCTCAAAATCTGCATGTTCCTTCAAACATGTAATCAAGACAGAAGCAAAATTTCTGGTGAAATGTAAAAATTGAAGATAGAAACTGAAGCAAGGGACTTCTGAGACACAGGAGCTTCTTATGTCTTTAAATACTCCACCCAGAGCCTCTCAAACTGGCCCAGAACTGGGCAGGCAGCATTTGGTCATACTGCCAAGAAATGTTTGCGGCAGCGTTTGAGTATCTGGAAGGTTATTTCAGAATAGAAATTGGAAGTTTTATCTTTCTTCTTCCAATCCCATCCTTAGCCCCCTCCCCACATTTTTCAGTTGTTCTCCAATCAACCCCTTCTACTAATGCCTCTGCAGCCTCAAACTGGTCAAGGAAACAAGTCACAGCCCCAACCCTAGGAAACTACTCTGCCCTATCTTACATCCTCCAAAAGAATACCCTTCTACCATGGATATAGGACAGGTGTCTCCAAACTTGACAACTTTTAAGACTTGTGGACTTCAGCTCCCAATATTCAATTCTGGGGAGTTAAAGTCCACAAGTCTTAAAGTTGCCAAATTTGGAGAATCCTGATGTAGGACAATGGAAAGATATGTTTTCAATGTTTCAACAACATTCAGTACATCAGGCCTTGAATAGATGCTGATATTACAATTGAAAAGTATGAGTTTTCCTGCACAGGATTTATTTTAAACAGAATGTGAAAGTGGGAAGATAGGAAATGAAGACCACAGCTGTTTGCAGCAATATGGAATGACAGCATGTTGGCCGTCCAGATTTGCCTTCTTTTTAGTTAGAATTTCCACTTCCCAGTTATAATTCCCAGCAAGATCACTACATAGAACTTGTGGCCAATTGTAAATGGCAAATGTTTTCTACAAGCAGGCTATTCTTCTGCAGCCCACCCATCCACTTGCCCTCTTAGTATGGTATAAAGCAACACTGGACCTCCTTTAAAATTCCAGGATGCCAACATAGTGGCTCCCATCTACTTGCGAGACAGACTTCTCAATCCAGGGAGGGAAGAAGTATGGAAAAGAGAAATTACGATAGATTATTTGGAGTGTTACTTAATAGGTTTTAAAGATTCTGGTACATCAGACTCTCCTAGCAACAAAGATCTTTCCAAGGTGCTAATGTTTTGCTTAGTTTGCCAGCATTGCAGGGCCTGACACTGAACTTGAAAGCCAACCAAATCAATTTAGGCCTACTGAAAGCAAAGTGGAGTTTCTCTGGGGCCCCTTCACACATTTTCCTACTCTTTTGGACTCAAGAATACCTGTTGCAACAGGAACTCTTCTTCCTCAGGGTTCCCAAAGTCTATCAGACATCTCATGAGAATTGAAACCTACTTACCTGCAACAGCAAAGTGAGGTGCTGACTTGCAAATTCCTTGCTCTGAAGGCCACAGCAGCCCAAGCACAGCACTGCCATGTTTCGCACAGCAGGATGGATATTAGTAATTCCTGGAATTATCTAGAAGAACAAACACAGTAAGAAGTGTTGGTCAGAAGAGAACCCTGTAGCTACTTCTTTGCTAAGATATCTTGGTAACCGAAGAGACCAGAGTAACCACAGGGAATGTTTAAAAAGCCAGGATGGAGGGCCAAGTTATTTAATCTCCCCATGAGGATGCTTTTGCAAACAAAAAAAGCATGAACTGATTTTAACAAATGCTCACACTGGTGGGTCAAGTAGAAAAATGGCTTGCTCGGATTTGTTTGAAAGAACGATATAAGAAAAGGACACAATCTAAATTCATAAATGGAAAAATAGTGAATCTCTAACTGATATAAATCTTTCTTTGGTACAAATAAGGGTGGGAGATTCCCAAACCACGTTGCCGGGAACTGCCCAGAAACTAAAATTGATTCGAAGTGCAATCCAATGGAGGGCTGAAGTAAAAA